AGGAGGAGGAAGCGGCACTCGCGCCTCCGAGGCCAGTCCAGGGGCAAGTCATTACTGCGGAGGAGGGGCCAGAAGGAGGAGGAGGAGGAGGAGGAGGAGGAGGAGGAGGAGGAGGGGAGGGGGAGATAGGAAGAGGAGGAGAAGGAGGACGAGCGCGCGGATGATACTCCAGTAGTGCTCAGGGAAGCGGCTCACCTGGGTGATCCACAAGTGACGGGATCGAGCCGGCCAATTCATCTGCAACCCAATGAAGAAAAGAGTCGGGTCGGTGGCAAACTTTGAGCCGATTTGCCCCCACCCCCTGTGCACACGCAATTGCTAGTCATGGATTGAGACCGTGTATAGGCAATCCAATTCAGGCTCCAGCACGTCATAACTGTAGATTACGTCATAAGCTGCTGAATATGTCGCTCCGGCGGCCCACTTTCTCAGGGCGATCTGGCGCTGCAAATGTGGTATTGGTAGCGGTGTGCGCCCACGGGGTCTCATCGGCCCGGAGACGAACACACATTGATAGGTCGGTAGCCGCGGTAGGTTCAGATGGCACGGGAAGGCTTTGTGTCAGCGCTCTGCGCAGGGAGCTCTGTGTCCGCGCTTGCGCCCTCACTCCTCGCTCACTCCCTGCCTGTGCTCCAGGGACTGCTCCCACGTGGCGAGAAGAGTAGGCAAGTAGGTTTGTTCCGTTGCACCCCACTCTAGCTCGAGTAGCTTTCACTCGCGACTCGACCGCGACCCACTCCGCACCACACCCCGCGCCCGCCCCCTCACTCTTATGCGAAACCGCGGGAAGTCACGCAACCGCTTGGCGCAGGGAGGACCTGCGCAGCGAGAGGGCTCCGCCCCGAGGAAGGCCCAGCGGCCGGCCTCCGGAGGCCCCGAAGATGGCGGCAGACCTCCTCGAGCCTCCCTGCTCCACATCCTCCGCCCGTCCTTGCCTCTCATCCTTCCATGCCCTTCCTCCCTCCCCCCCTCCCTCCGCACCGACACGACGACGACGACGACGACGACGACGACGACGACGACGACGACGACGACGACGACGACGACGATGTAGGCGACGACGGCGGCGGCGGCGGCCGAAGGCGGTGAAGACGTGAAGGCGAAGGCGAAGGCGGCAGCGGCGAAGGCGAAGCCAGCGGAAGCCTTCAGAGATCGGCCCTGGACCTCTCCGTGGCCGAGCTTCGGCCGGAAGCTCGGAGGGAAGCACGGCCATGGCGACGAGAGGGGCCCCAAGGCCTCAAGGAGGGCCCTCGAGAGCCACCAGGGGACCTCGGGCCCGAGCCTCGAGCCCCGAGGGGCGCAGCGAAGGGCCCCCCGAGATGCGCGGAGCCCGCGAGGCGGCCTCGTTGGTGATCTCGCGCGAGCCGCCCTCGATGCCGCCGAGGAGCACCCGGGCGCAGGACTCGGCGCCTGCTCCGCCCCGTGGCCGGCTTCCGCGCTCGACCCCGGAGAGGGACCTCCTCCTCCGCCTCCTCCTCCATCCCTCCATCCCTCCATCCCTCCATCCATCCTCCTCCTCCTGATCCTCATGCTCCTCCTCCTCCTCCTCCTCGTCCTCCTCCTCCTCCTCCTCCTCCTACTCCGAACCCGACTCCGCCTCCTCCTCCTCCTCACATCATTCCCTCAAATCCCTCCGGAATCAATCCTCATCCATCCTCCATCCCTCCTCCTCCTCCTCCTTCCTCCTCCTCCCTTCCTCCTCCTCCTCCTTCCTCCTCCTTCCTCCTCCTCCTCCTCCTCCTCTCTCTATTATGTTTCTTTTTCTTCCTCCTCTCCTCCTCCTCCTCCTCCTCCTCCTCTCCCTCCTCCCTCTCTCCTCCCCTCCTCTCCTCCTCCCTCTCTCATTATTAGTAGTATCCTTTCATAGAAATTCTGCATACTATATTACTAGTAGGATTAGTAGTAGTAGTACTAGTAATTGTAGTAGTAGTAGTAATAGTAGTAGTAGTAGTAGTAGTAGTAGTAGTAGTAGTAGTAGTAGAAGTAGTAGTAGTAGTAGTAGTAGTAGTAGTAGTAGTAGTAGTAGTAGTAGTATGATTAGTATTAGTATTATTATTATGATTAATATTATTAGTAGTATTAGTCTTCTTATTGTTATTATGAATGTTATTCTTCTTAGTATTCATATGATTCTTAATACTATGCCTATTATGAGTATAATGCCTCTTCCTCTTCTTCTTAGTATTATTAGTATCATCCTTCTTATTAGTATTATTATGGTTATTAGTATTCCCTACCTAGGCTCTGCCTAGAAGGGTTCTTACTCTGTTTGCTTAAAGGGCCGGGCAATGGGGCACACCCCGGGCGGTTCCCCCGGCATCCGCCCCGCGGTTCCCCCAGTGACGTTCCCTTAGCTTCGCGTTGCTTATCTCATCTTAGCTTAGCTTATTTCATCTTACCTTAGCGTAGTTTCATCTTACCTCAGTTGTACATTAGCTTAGCTTACCTTCATCTTAGTTGCGCTGAGCCTTTAGCATAGCAGAGCACAGCATGCATAGCATAAGCGTATAGCGTATTTAGCATAGCGCCAGGCATCGCACATATCATAGCTATGGGTGTTGTAATTCACCTACCTAGGCTTCTGCTAGAGGTTGGGTTAGCTTGTTGTGTCGCTGTGCTTTAGTTTAACTTAGCATTAGCGCCAGCGCTTGCAATAGCATAACATCGAATAGCATAGCTTAGCAAAGCAAAAGCATAGCATAAATAGATAGCGCAGCATAGCATAGCATAGCATAGCGCAGCTTACATAGCATATCTAAGCTAAAGCTGTTGACCGGGTTCCGGGCAGCCGGTCCGGCCGGGGGCAAAGAGAGAGGGCGCGGGCACAGGGGCCGGGGCACAGGGCGGCAACAAGCGGCAATAGTGGGAGTGGCGGCTAGTCCCTGGCGGGTTCCCCGGCCGGCTTTTCCCCGCCCCCGCGGTTCCCCCAGTGACGTTCCCTTAGCTTCGCGTCGCTTATCTCATCTTAGCTTAGCGTATTTCATCTTATCTTAGCTTAGCCTCAGCTTAGCTCAGGTTTATCTTAGCTTAGCTTACCTTCATCTTAGCTTCGCTGAGCTTTAGCATAGCATAGCCCAGCATAGCATGGCATAGCGTAGCATAGCATAGCGCAGCACAGCATATCATAGCATAGCCCAGCATAGCATAGCATAGCGCAGCATAGCATAGCACTGCATAGCATAGCGCAGCACAGCACAGCACAGCATAGCACAGCGCAGCATCGCATAGCATGGCATAGCAGAGCATAGCATAGCATAGCGCAGCATAGCATTGCATTGTATAGCATAGCATAGCATAGCATAGCGCAGCATATCATGGCATAGCATAGCATAGCATAGCATAACAACTAATGCTGCTTTCCTAGGGGCTCCAACTTCTAGGTAGGGTCGCACTGGGGTAATCATTGTTCTTACTATTACGATTACTATAATTATTCCTCCTCCTCCTCCTCATCCTCCCCCTCCCTCCTCTTCCTCCCCCTCCCTCCTCTTCCTCCTCCTCCTCCTCTTCCTCCTCCTCCTCATCCTCCTCCGCCTCCTCCTCCTTCGCTTCTCCTCTTCCTCCACCCCCCCTCCACCCGTTCCGACAGCACGTGCCCAACCTCCGCCCCCCCCCCCGCGGATCCAGGGGGGACGATTTTTGCTCCTCCAGAGTGCACCGAGAGCCAGAGTCACGAACAAATGTTCTGTGGCACCTCTCGGGAGCATCCCACGTCATCCTGCTTGCTCTTGCGAATCGGCCCTGACCGACGCTGGACAACGCATCCGCGAGTGTAACCGAGACCGGCGCCCGAATGTTTCCGACCGCGCCCAGGCGCGACCGAAACTCTTGCCTCGGAACCAAAGATATGTTCAAAAACTCGGCCACCATGTCGATCACAACACGCTTTGGGTTACGACTTCGGGCACGCTCTCGGACACCAGCTTCTGTCGGTCACATTGACGAACGAACAACACACACCCATACCCATAGGGGGGTCGTTGGGAGGAGGACTGGCTATGGGTATGGGTGCGGGTTGTCGGACCCTGGGGAGCGCTCCCGTTCGAACGGGGGCCCCCATCCGACAACACGCACCCATAGCCCTCTCCGACCCCCCTTTGGGTATGGGTGTGTGTTGTTGGTTCGTCACGCCTACCTCTTTGGCCGATGGGGACCGGGCGCCACGACAAGCCAGCGCTGGTCGACGCCAGCTCGGCGCCCGCGCGCCCGACCTATAGGTGCGGCCCCTCGAGCACCTCCTGGGCCCACGAGCACGGGAGGGCAGCGAGGAGTGGCGGGCCTGCTCAGAAGGCTCGGGTGCCCCTGGGCCTCCGGAGAAGGTCTCGAGCCCTCCCCGAAGACACGGAAAGCTCTCGGCGGTGGACAAGCCTCCCTTCAGCAAACCTCCCCTTCGTGAAAACGGCCCAGGACCGAAACCGACGGCCCTGGGCCCGCAAAAATGACGGCCGCGGCGCCCTCTCGCGAGCCGAGAGCGGCCAATTCGCCACTCGACGTGTCGGGGCAGGAGGTCCATCAACCTCCGAATCCCTCAGAAGGAAGGCGCGAGGATTGCTGAGAAGCCCCGCCGCCCTCTCAGGGAGCCTGCTCCTTCTCACTTGCCCCCCCGATGGCCGCCGAGCTCACTCGGCGCCCGTCCGCCCGACCTACTGGTAGAGCACCTCGAGCACCTGTCGGGGATACGTAAGGATCGGGTTCGGGGGACTCGGGTTGGCCTGACGGGGCCGTCAAGAAAATGACGAGGCCCAACCTGAAACTTGACGCGAACTCCCGCTGCAAACATCCCACGAAAAGTAGACCGTCCAAATCGGGGACGGGCCCGTCGAAACGCGTCGGCAAACCTAGAGGTCTCCTCGATGAGGTCCGAGTAACTAGACGGGGTCGGAGAATCGCGCCGCATCGCCGATGCATCGCCGATACATCGACGATGTATCGGTGATGCATCAACGACGTCGGCGTGGATAAGATCTGGCTACACATCGAGCCGCATCGCCGATGCATCAGTAAATCGCCGCGACCCTCCGACCCCATCTGCTCGGATCCCACCTGAGCGACGATCGACAACGGGTCTTACACGCGGTGGCTTGCGCGGGCCGCCGGCGCGGCACGCCACACTGGGGACGAGGGCGCTCACCCGCGACCTCACGCTGGGAGCTTACGCGCCAATGTCGGCGCAGCTGGGCCGGTCTTGTGGCGTCACCCGTCTGAGAGGCCTACAGATATAGGAGCAAAGAATGACATGAACATAACAACTCTAAGTCCGCGCGGATTTCTCGGATCGGCGTTGGACCCCCCCCCCTGGCTCGCGGAGCGCGCCAAGGGCGGCGCCGGAGGCGCCGCCAAGGGAGCCCCAGTGCCGATCCGAGGAGTCCGCGCGAACCTCCGAGATCTATTGTTTATGTCAATGTTTGTTTCCCAACGAAAACCCGAGCTCCGACGTACAGTCGGACCTGGGCCAGAAGAACATCCTCCAAGAACACGAGACCCTGCGCCAGCCAAAACAAGCAGGACGTGCAAGGGTACCCCTCCCCAGGATGCACAAGAAAGAACATCCAGCAAACACGAAGAACACTGATTAGGGCACCGCACCCTCCCCGAAGCGACCTCGATCTGGGAGTTCTTGAACTGTGAGATCCGACGTGGCAAAACAAATTGCAACATCGCTAAAAATAGCGACTGAGTATCGTTTAACCGATCCCCATCCCCAGCGGCGTCGCCTGGGCCCCACTGGCCGATTCACCCCCATAGATGGGGACATAGGCCGTTCCCTTCGGCTTTCGAGGGGTGTATCCACAACTGGGGGGGTAATTTGGTGGGGGTCTCGAAGGGGATGTGGATGAGGATGGGGATCGGTTAAACGATACCGAACAACCGGAGCCCCGGACCCCATCTTTCTACGCCATGTTTCGAGCCGGATCGATCTGCGAAGGCTCAGGGAGGCCCGAAAAACGGAACGACAACGCTCGCTGTGAAAAAAATTGCAGCGCCAGGTCTCAAGGCAAACCCGAGTTCCAACGTCAGTCGACAGAACCTGCTGCGTGTGGTTCGCAACTCCGGGGGGGAAGTCCATCTTGAAAATTCCGTAGTCGACCCCTTACTCCGAGGAACAAAAAAGGACCCCTGACCCTTTGAGAGGGGACCCGAGTTACGAGGGCCAAAAACACTAGGGATAGGGGGCCTCCTCCGCACGTGCATCGAACCAAACCGCCCATATGCAGATGACATCCCTAACCTAAGGTGAGGCCACGCGTTCGCTGTGTTATTAGGGTTGGGGTTCTTTGGGGGAGACCAGAAGGCACCCATACCGCTACTCCCTGACCTCTCCTGGGGTGCGCTCTGACCAGGACCTCGAGGCGAAGCCGGCGGTGGCGCAGAGGAAAGCCCAGGAGGCCAAAAAGGGGGAACACGAGGGAAGGGCAGAGGTATGGGTACCCTTTCCTCCTCTGCCTCGGACGGGAGGGGGGAGAGGGGGAGGGGGAGAGGAGAGGGGGAGGGGGCAGGGGGAAGGGGCGAGGGGGAGGGGGAGGAGGGGGAGGAGGAGGAGGGGGAGGAGGGGGGAGGAGGGAGGAGGAGGAGGAAGGAGGAGGAGGAGGAGGAGGAGGAGGAGAGAGAGGGAGGGAGGAGGAGGAGGAGGAGGAAGGAGGAGGGAGGATGGGAGGGAGGAGGAGGAGGAGGAGGGAAAGGAGGAGGAGGAGGGAGGGATTCTTCGACGCACTTCGGATGCACTCGAGTCTTCCATCTCCCCGCGCCTCGGCGCCCGCCGACCCGGGGGGGAGGCCCGCCCCGCGGCAGGCGGGCAGCAGCGGCCCGCCGGCCAGCAGGCGATGCGCGCACGCCGCTACTCCGCCCCACCGGGCGGTAGGCCGCGCTGTGAACCCACGCGCCGCGAAAGGGGCCCGCCGACACCGCCGCGAAGCGCAGGAAAGCGACTCTCGTTGAGGTCGTTGCGCCCGCCCTCCCGCGGAGGTGCGAAGGGGGGCGCCGGGCCCCAAGGTAGGAAGGCAACAACCAACTATAACAACCAACACCGATTCCTGGCCAGGATCACCCTGGACCCAGGATCGGTGTATACGCCCTCCTGCCTTGCGCAAGAAGGCATATACACCGATCCTGGGCCCAGGGTGATCCTGGGCCAGGATCGGTGTTGGTGTATAGTTGGTGCCCTCCGACAAGGAGACACACAGTCGGGGATGGACAGACCTCCCTTTTGAGCAAAACGTGGCTCGCTGAAAACGACCTGGCAGCAGAGTAAATCTGGAAAACGACCTGGGGCCCAAACCTGGCGGGCGCAGGCCTGGAGAACAGCGGCCGCGGCGCCCCCTCGAGAGCCGCAAACGGACAATTCACTAGTCGACGTGTCACTGTTGGGGGTTCTGTCCACCCCCGACACAGACAGAGGAGCACAGATCCCGAGGTCCGGGCGCGGCGCCATTTCTTGTCCGAGCCGGGCGTGTGGTCGCTCGATCTCGGGCCCCGGGGCCCTCACAGAGCGATCCGGCTCGG